TTAGTCTTTCACATGTGGCTCTGTCTGGTTCCAGACATTTTCCTATAGTCTTTTCTCCTCCAGCTCCCCACTGGCAGCAAATTGGCTTCATCTTGGGAGCCAGTTCCAGGTAACAATGCTTGGCACTCTCTCTTGAGAAAGAGTCTAAGGCCAATTCCCAGACACATGAGGGGGTAGTGAGATATTCCCAGTATCTGCAGAAGCTCAAGAAAAGAAGCAGCAGCGTCATGCAGAGCACATCTCCCATTTCTGCATGGTGAGAATAAAAAGCTTAGAGTCAGAACTGTGTTTGAATCCTGGTTGTGCAAGGTACTGCGTGGGTGGTCTCCAGCTAGTTCTCTAACTAACTATAAAATAAAAGTGACTATACCAAACTTACAGGGTTGTAAAACATGTAAACTACCTGTCAGTGAGGACGTGGTAGGTGTTTTTTCCTTCCTTCAGTTAGTATCCTCCTTAAAAATAAATCTTGTTAATATAACTTAACAAGAGAAATTGGCTGGGGAAGTCACGTGCATCTCAAATCAGCAGATAGAAGTTTATCAAATAAAGGGAACTATAAGCCCTCAAAGAGAAGCCTATGCAGAGGCTTCACAAAGAGCTATGCTATTTATCAGCATATATAAATGTTGTGTATAAGTAGAGTGGGAAGGGGAGAAAGAGACAGGAATGAGGGACAGAGAAAAGGGAGAGAGAGATTCCAATATTTCTGGTTTTTTGATGTGGCACCTTGTATCCTAAGTGTGTGTGTGTGTGTGTGTGTGTGTGTGTGTGTGTGTGTGTATAATTAGCCATGAGAAAGCTGAATGGGTTTGGGCCACATGGAAGATGTCTTTACATTTGCTGTTCTTATAGAATTCAACTTGGTTTATGGTAACCCATGATAAAAATGTTTCTAGTTCACCCTCCCCCCTTCCCCGTGAATCCTGGGGCTTGAATTCAGTGTCTGGACACTGTCTCTGAGGTGTTTGTGTTTTGCTTAAGGTTAGCACTCTGCCACTTGAGCCACAGCTCCAGCTTTTTTCAGTGCTTAATTGGAGATAAAAGTCTCACAGGCTTTCCTGCCACAGCTATCTTCTAACAGCGATCTTCAGAATATAGCCTCCTCAGTATCTAGGATTATAGATTATAGGCATGAGCCACCAGTACCCAGATTCCCTAGGCTTCAGAAAGAATAGTTTTCACATCTGCTTAATGCCAGTTATATAACCAAAGCTTCTTTTTGTGAGCTAAAAAGGTCAGGATGCAGTACTATTATAGAAGTATGCACTCAGTTAGACATCCAGCATCCCTGTGAAGGATTTACCCTCTTTCCTGGGAGCAAAATTCAGAATCCAATTTCTAGGCTTGTCTTTTGTAATCCAGCAATGGAAATCAAACCCCAAAGACCATGCATAATGATGGTCCTTATTATGAGAGAGTTATGATCGGCCCTGGGAGAGAAGCAGCAGCACTATGGCAGATTCATCATCAGTGCACGTGGATGGATGACAAAGCAAAGGTCTCTAGGCTTTGGAGTCCCCAAGGGAAGGAAAAGAACTCTTAGAGCCAAAGGTATGTTTTGTTCTTTCCTATAGCAGCAGATTGTCTCTGTAGGAAGAACCCCCAGGACTGAAAAGTCTGCCTGGTACTGGCTAACTTCCTTTGAGGTAGGACTCAGTTCCTTTCCCTCTTGTTACCCTTCTTTGCACAGCTGGAGGTGAGCATGAAGGAAAATGAGTCTGTCATTTCTGTCATCATATGATTTCTGTCATCATAAATCAGAAATAGAAACAGCCAATGTTGGAATAACAAAATGTTTCTTCCTTGTCAGTATCTACACACTGGGTTGTCTTCAACTGGCATTATTCATAGATTAAATTAAGAGATCAGCCTGGAAGTGGGTTGAAAATCTTCAGATAATTCCACAGATTAAACATAAAGCTCCTCTGAGAAGGTGTTTCAGGCTGGACAGCACCACTCTTGAGATGTTCCTGTGGCTGAGATATCTGTGGCTGTGTGGAAATGAGGCATCTCTGTAACTTGAGCCTGTTTTCTGAGACACAGGCATATCTAAAAGGGGAAGAATCCATCAAGAAGAACTGAGAAAACTAGGATCTTCTTGGACTTGATGTCTGTCACAGTGCCAATAGGTACATAAAAGCAGAGTCTAGAAATGATCTAGAGACAGAAGCCCTGATTTTCAGGGAAGGGACATGGAGTTGTGGGGGTACCCTCAACTTTACTGGCTATGGAATTTTGTCTAATCAGTTTCTTCTGTGGTGTTATTTCTGTGGTTAGCTTCCCTTTATTTCTCTCTCTCTCTCTCTCTCTCTGTGTGTGTAGAGGTATCTCCTACTGGAAACAAATGGTATTTGTTCCAATAATGATTTTCAAAAAATAAAGGTGTAGTTGGTTATCCAGAAATGCATATTTTATTTGACATTTGATTTTTCCCCTCAGATTAAGTGTAGAAATGCTTCTAAGTGCTTAGTCTCATCATTTTGCCAAGAGAGGAAAAAAAATCAATGTGGTGGTGCATGCCTTTAATCCAGTCCTCAGGAGGTAGAGGCGGAAGCAGGAGCTGGAATTCAAAACCATGCTATCCTAGGCTATATAGTAAGGCCCTGTCTTAAAAAAAATTTTTAAAGAAAGAATTCAGTTTTTTAAGCAATTTTCACTTTATTTAATATTTAACATATTTAATAAAGGTGCTTACTTAAAGTTAGCTAAAACAACTTTTTTACTGCTTTGATTATTCTATTAAAGTTACCATGATGATAATATGATAAATGTTTATAACCATTAAACATTTGTATTTGAAATAGTTTTAAAACTATGACAAAACTATGATCTATTTTGCTAGTTTGAGTTTTTAGACAATATAAGGTATTTGGTGAAGACCTGGCTTTACTTTCTTGTCAGAGACAAATTCCACAGCACCATGTTAAAAAGCTTAAGTTTCTCATGCACTAAATTCCTTCTCATGTGATAAACTTTTAGACATAATTGTAGAAAAATTATTCTGTTCAATAGACTTTCTTTCTGATTCCTGAGCTAGGCATGGTTTAGTGATTACAACTTTTATGGGATACTTTAATATATGATAGACTGAATAAATGTTCATTCATTAGTTCAGTTTTTCTTAATTTTCTTAGCTCCTTCCAGATAAAGATTGCCATGATTTTTATAATGTTCCAAGTGTATCTTCTAGGATTTCTAATTATAATTTCATTAAATCCATAAATTAGCCGAGGAAAGATAACTGGTTTTTTTCTCTACATGATCTTGATAGGTCTTTTGATTTTAAAGTGCTTCTATGTAAAGTATCTAATATCCTATTTATGAACTGAACATTTTCATGTCAATATAGATCTTAGGAATTTTTTGACAGCTATGGGATATAGTAATTAACAATTTAAATATCACAAACACTGTCATTGTCCTATTCATTTTTGGCATTACTTTTGATAATGGAAGATTACTTAAGGAATTAGTTAACTTTTATAGCAGAACAAACTCTCCAATGCATATGAAGATCTCTACATTAGACTATAATGAAGTTCTAGATTCTAGTTTTCAATACACATTATGGGTTTGGGTTTTTTTTTTAAGGTAAATACATAGTCATTGTTACCTATGGCTCTTTCCTTCTAATTCTTTAAGGCATATTCAGGAGAATTGACTTAAACTCAGCCACAACAACACCAGAAGTCCTCTGCTGGAGTGGAAACCAACAATCCTCTCCTCTAACAGAGCAGCAGTATTCAAAGCCTTCCAACTCTGCATCACCAGCCAATCTTGCTAAAACTCAGATCCAGTCCTGACACTTTGGGTTATGTTTATGTTTAAACACAGAAAAACTCCAACAAACACAAGATGGATGACCTAGCACTATTTCATAGTATTTTGTCGCCTCTTTGTTATGCAAAGGGATACATGGATAAAGGCTGGATTTCTTAGCATCTCAGGATAGCATTTAGAGATCTGGCCAGCCTGATGTCCTGTACCGGCTTGACATCCAGCCACCCCACAGCTCACCTTGATTGATCCTGTTTTGCTTCTCAGGGTGAAAATCTTACTCTCCTTTCAATGCAGCATTCAGTTTTATGTATGTTGGGAAGTTTTTCTGGGACTGTAAGTCTTCTAACATCATACAAAGTAGAGCTACATCCTCTCACAACTGATCCCATAGCAGTCAGCTTTTAACAGTAGCACAGCACACAGCAATGTGTCTATGTGTCAGTCCCCTGTGAGTCTTCCTTTGGATACCTGCATTCAGCACGTTGTCTTACAAATAAGCCGTGAAGAGCACCAGTTTGTGAGAGGACACAAACAAGAAAAGAAAGGGCTTAAGACATGGATCATTTTCTGATTAAAACAATAGTGCCACAAGACAAAAATTCAAAGTTAATGTTGTTTTTGATTTTGGAGTTAGACTGTCTTTGCTTGCCTCATGGAAAGTAGCTTTCAGGTAGATAGATGATAGATAGATACATAGATACGTAGATGGGCAGACAGGAAGGTAGATAGATGAAACAAACCAGTACAAAACAGTTGAATGTGTGGTTCAAGTGATAAAGAGTGTCAGCTAGTAATCACGAGGCCCTGAACTCAAACCTCAGTATCACCAATAGATGAATTCGTAAATAAGTAATAGATAAATTAGTAAATAAGTAACTGTTGATTCCCCCTCCCCCGCTTTCTTTAAGGACAGAGGACTGCAGATTTCAAAGGCATCCATTGTAGTACTTTCTTAGTAGAGACTAGAGTTCTTAGACTCTGGTACTGATAAATTTTGATTATAGAAAAATCAACACAAGAGCCATTGTTTTGGGGCTTGGCTTGGGATGGAATGGGTTGACTGTTGTCCTAGGGTCTTTTCACAATTGTGGCTGTAGATTCTCAGAGAGAACATAGCTGCTGGAAGATGGGCCAGTTCTAGGTCTTGGTTTGTCTTTGGACCCAGGGGATGTGGTTTACTTTATGTGGCCCTACCTTTTGTTCTCTGTTCCTTGCAGATTCATGAAGGTGGCAGGGAGCGCGGTGGATGCAGTTACCTGGCAACAGTAGGTATTCATCATTTTTTGCTCTTACTTTATTATCAGCTGCTTTGAAGCCAGAGATAATGAGAGGTCACCAAGTTTAGAGCTGGCATTTAATACGCTATCCTTTATGAAAAAGAAAACATTGAAAATTAACACCAAACTTGTTGCTTTAGCATTTGCTGTGTCACAGCTCTATAATTTTATGTTGTTATTTTTCAAAACAACCCCCCCCCCAAATAAGCAAACAAACTCCACTGACACATTTTAGCGATCTGGACTATTATGTACTCTTGAGCTCATCTGTCACGAGGGAAAGGTGAGGGAAGTCGAAGCTTGCCACCTTGTCTCCTCAGGCTTTTCCCTTGGGAATAAATTTCCTTGCTTAAGAGAGGAAGTAGTTTTAATTGCTCCATATATCATGTGAAAATAGAGACACTTTATTCGACAGCTGTGGTGTTAATTAGCACCAAGCTATTCACTAATATGAAGCAGGTTACAAAACAGAAACTATGGAGAGAATGAGGCGACTCAAGAGAGGCGATAAACCTCAGCACTCCAGAGACAAGCTTCTGTTAGCCCAACGGTAGCTTGACTTGGCAGGGTAATTCTCTGATATGTAAACTTAAATACTCTTTTAGGCTTCTTATGGCGTTTGGGCCAGGATGGCCACTATTGGGTCACAATATTGGACCAGCTTTTGTCCTTGCTAGCCTTTAGTTACCCTAGCCCTTCCTGTTCAGTGCCTACACTATCTTGTCTGACCTCTGGTTTAAGTCAGTCATACTATCCATTGGAGATCATTGACAGGCATGTAAGAGAAAGAAGAAGATGTTGTTTGATTTTAGTTCCTTACATTTGGCAGTACTGGGTGGGAACTGAACTTGAAGACTTAGGTTTGTGAGGCAGATGCTCCACAAACTTGAGCCATGCCTCTGGCCAGCCCCCTTTTGTGTGTGTTGGTTCATTGTCAAGTAGGATTTCAGTTGATGCCTGGGCTGGCCTGGGCTGTAGTCCTCCTGCTGTGTTTCTTCATGTCATTGGGGATGACATGTGCCACTATGCCCAGCCATTGTGCTTCCCCTGTATCTGGGGATACCAGGCAGGTACCGTTGTACACTAAAACTGACATGCCCATTTTATTCTTTTCCCTAGCTCTTTGTTTTTTTTATGGCACTTATAATAACTCACAGTTCCTTTTTCTCATCACTTGTTTTTGAACTTTGGTTTCTCTAGAGTGGCACTTCTTCAGTTCTCCAGGTACTTACTAAGGTGATTGTACATTAGGTGTTCCCTGTGGAGAAATCCATGATCATCATAATAACAATGTTCCAGAAACTTCTCTCCAACTTTATATCTGCCTTACCAGACCTGACCTTCAGAACCATCAAGTCAGGCAGACACTGTTTTTATTTCTGTTTTCCTACAGCTTTAGGAAGCTGTAGAAAATCCAAAGACAACAACAGAAATGCCAAATTTCTGGACTTGGGGTTGGGTCTCTCTCGCTGTAAGGGCTTTATCACTTTAACTTGTATCGCTTTGACAAGACAATATCCTTTAACTGAAATTCTACCTCAGCACTCGGACCAAAGACTATGTGGATAATGTTGCAGAAATGCCAAAATCTGAAGAATTTATAGGATTTGTAAGGAGAGATCATGAGATCAGAGTAAGAAAATTACTGGCTAAGAATATATGGCTTCAATTACCATGGCTGACAGGGAAAGATCAGAGAAAGATTTTTTTTTCTATCTTCAAGCACTTTCCCTGGCACAAATGGAATAAAATGAGCCTAGTAGGTTTTTTTTAATATAATGGAGAAATACATTTTAATAAACACATTTTATTTATTGGCTACTAAAAATCATTGACCAGGTCTCTAGATGATCATCAAGTATTTGCACCTATGCCAAAAATACTTCCCAACGCAGGAAGAGGGTTGTGTTTCTTTTGGATCAGCACTCATTCGGGGATGAGTCGCACCTGGAATCTACCATTTATCCATTTTCATTCAAGACTTGGATAGTCATGGAAGACTCCCAGGAAATCCTAGCTAAGAGGACTCAATGCAAAGCAGAGATCATGTCCTGTTTCTCCAACCCTGAGAAATGCTGAGCTAGACATTTCTTTAAAAATACAACATAAAGGAAATCAAATCTCTGTGGTTCAATGATTTTTATATAGAAGCTCATGCTCTTGGATTTGTTTTATTCAGAGGAACAGAATATACGATTGGATCATTGGTTCCGCCTATCAAGTCATGCAGAAAACCCAGCAAGAAGTAGAGAGATGAAGTTCTAATGACAAGTATAGTGGAGGAGCTAATATCAGAATTCCCCTCCTCTAATTGCAGTGGTGATGTCTGTACATTCATTTTATAACACAAAAATTGTTGAGCGACCAAAGGGAGATAGAAACTAGAGAAACATTATCAGTCCTTGAAAGAAAAGTAGTGAGTGGGGGCTGCTTTTATATAACTTTTTCACTGGGGTTACCCAACAATCCATGCAGTATCAGGTACTTAGAACACAACGTACGTGACTGTATTGGCATTGGGTGTAAGAAGGGGTCAGACACTGGGATTTCAGGGCAGAAATCTCAGAAAAGGGGAACCTCAGGGGGGAAAAAGTGCCAAACATGCATGTATACTTCCTCCCTCGACTCTTTGATCCCTGAAATCCATATATTTACCAGGAGAGAGCCTGTTGGGAAGCAACAACTAGAAGCTTTGAAGAAGACAAAACTGAATAGAGATTTCAGGTGCTCTCTGTCACAAGAGAGACAGAGATTGGATTTTAATCCTACACGTTGAGTGTGACTTCACAAACACTTTGTTTCCTCCAGTGATGCCTAAAGGAGTTGTACCTTAAGTGTACATTGTCTGCCAGGACTAAGACGAAAATAGAACCCATACAGATGTACCTAAAATGTGAGGGGATTCCTTCAGCCTCCTGTGAGTTCCAGAACCAATATGCTTATGTCCTTATTGCATATTACCTACATTTCCAGAACACTAAATCATTACTAGACCTGAAAAGAAAGAAAAATGGCTCATCACCAGGGGAATAAGTAATCATTGATCCAAACATGAGAATTAACTGGTCAGGATTTTTAAAGAAGCTACTGTAAATAATCAAACCATTAAGGGCAAAATGTCAATATTGAGTGGTTACATAGGAAATAGTTGTGAATTAGAACTCTAAGTATGTCTGTGAGCATGATTCCACTCCTGACTTCTATAAGATCAACTTTTGTAGCTCCCAGTGTAAGGGGGAAAATGTGGTGTTTCTCTTTCTATGACTGATTTATGACTGGTGTCACTTAACAAATTATCCTCCAAGCTCATCCGTGCTGCCACAAATGATAGGATTTCATTCTGTATAGATGGATGAACAATATTGTGCCAGCAAAGTACTCTTTAAAAATGAAATAAAGATGCTTTTGATCAATGAATGCCAGTTGATTCGTGATACATGAAATGCTAAGGGAGTACTTCTGACAGAAAGGTACTAATACCAGAAGGAAACTTGGATTTTTTTTTAAATAACAAAGAGCACTGGAAATGGTAAATTTGTGGTCAAATATAAAACATGATTTTTCCTCTTTAAATAACAATGGATTAATAAAAACATAAATTGTATCACAGGCTTTACAATATATAGAGGTAAAATATATGGCACAAATATCATAAAGAAAAAAATATTGTAAAGGATGAAGAAGAGAGAAAGCAGTACCTGAGATTATACTGCAAGGTTCATTTCCATGAAGCAGACAATATTTACTCTAAGACTCTGGCAGGGCTGAAAATTGTATTTCTAGAGGAATCACTGAAAAAAAATTGGAAAAGTATATAACTATAAAGCCATATTAGGACTAAGGTAGAATACTAAGGAATATTCATTTTGAACTAATGGACATTTGTATACATTCTTTTCTAATGTATATGAGCTTAACTCTTGAACCACATCTCCTCTTCTAGCTTTTTACTGTTTAATTGAAAGTAAGAGCTTCACATTTTCCTCCTTGGGTTGGTTTTGAACCTTGGTCCTCAGATCTTAGTCTCCTGAGTAGCTAAGATTACAGGCATGAGCCAAAACTCATTTTTTTAAAAAAATTACTCAAAATATTCTTTTTTTCCATTCTCTTCCTTTTTCCTACAGTATCTTCTCTTTTATTTCTGCAGATATCAATTTTGGTTTTACTTTATATCTTTTCTCCATTCATCCCCTTTCTTCCATTTTCTAATAGTATGTCTCTTTATTACTGTTATTTTATAGTTTCTTCATACTATTTATATATAAACATACATATGTTGACAGATATTATATATGTTTTATAAAATGGATATATAAATGCCACCATTGCAATCCATAAATGCGTGCGCTCGCGCGCGCTCGAATGTGTGTGTGTGTGTGTGTGTGTGTGTGTATTCTCCCTGACTTTCTGATGACCTGTGAGTCACTACTCTTAAGAGAGAGGCATAAAAAGCTGGTTGGATTGTTTTTCTTTTTTTTTTCATTTTATTTTTTTTTGTGACCATACTGTACAGAGAGATTACAATTACATGAGAAAGATAATGAGTACATTTCTTATCAAGCATTGCAGCCTCCTCCTTTGTTTA